CGCTTCTTTTTCTAGATTTAAATTCTGTCAATTATGACTAGAAAATTATTAAATTATGTCTTATAAAATTGTGTCTCAAATATGACTTACGTTTTTAGAAATAGATATATTTCTTTTTTCAAAATTTAATTCTAGTAGCCGTTGTAGCATACAGAAAACTTAGTTGGAAATGTTTAATTAGACAGAAATTAAATCAAGAAAATGTCTTTTTTACAAAATTTCTCTTTGATATATTTCTCCCAATTATATTTAAAAAAAAATCAGTTTGAGTGCCAGTATAAAACCGAATATTATGCAAAAAATACTGTTGTTTAAATCACAAGTCTGTTTCTTAAGATATTTACTGTCATTTTAGCAAAACTGTTATTTTAACAAAATAACTATCAGCATTGTGGTCGGTGCGAGCCGAGAGTAGCATTCGTACGAACAGTCGAAGAAGGCATTCGGTCCTGGGTTTCAAATTTGGGGGATAAGCCCTTAAGCTATATAGCTATATTATAACCATCGTTGAATAACCGACCCAATTTTATGGGTTTACGACTACTAATGTTTAAATCCGTAGCTTTGTAATTTTGAACCCAATCCAGAAGACAAGGGAACTCCTGGATCGAGTATTGGGAGAAATTTTCCTTCGTGGAGGACTTTTCGATGGAGCTAACCCACATTTGCGTTACGTGGAGAGTAAGACCACGAGAACCTCCCACGGTTAGCCTGACGGCAAGGGGACTCTAACCCATGATCCGTCTACCACTGAGGATGTTTCACGTCAGCACTGTAGTCAGTGCAAGCCGGGTGCGGAATTCGTATCGACTGGGATTCGAACCCGGTTCGCCTCATTGGAAGGCGAAAGCTCTATCCCCTGAGCCATCGCGGCTCAGTATATAGCTATATTCTTACTATTCAAGCTTATCCGCACTTTCTTTCTTATGTAGATTCTTTATAAAAGCATACGAGCACTTCTCAAACGGTGGAAACAACGTTATTAGCAGCTAATTTTCAGCTCTACTGATATTTCTGTTATATGCACTAAATATTCACTGCCTATGCAATATACTTTTCTTCTTTCAAGGTACTACAGCCTATTACCAAATTGTCTTTGCCATTTGGTCATATCTGCAGCAAGGCTCTTCCAGCTTTTCCTTTTTTTTAAATCTAAAAGCCTTTCTCTACAAAGTCAAGCCACCTAGTTGGTTGTCTTCCCCACTTTCTGTTTAGCTGGATTAGTAAAAGCGAGCCTTTTTTACTAGATTTATATTGTCAGATCGGAATCGATGCCCGAGCCATCGTAGTCTATTACATTTTGTGACTTTATTAATATCATGTTACTAATACTTTTGGTAAATTTTAAAATTAAACAACGATCACCAGCTATTATTCTCATGGAATGCACCACACATTTTTCTTAAGATTTTCCACTCAAAGATCAATAATTTATTTTCATGCAACTATGGTTATTGTCCAGCATTTATTCCCATAAAGCAAAATAGGTCTAAATAGTATTTTATAGTATTAAGTTTTGTTTTTAAGCTTAAAAATAGAGATTTCAATTAGTTTTTGAGTACATGATAGCATTTATGTGACATGACGAGCCTGTTGCTTATCTCGACAGTCAAATCATTGCCAGTAGTAGTGATGGTTTCAAAATGTGACACTCTTTCAAAGTTGTAATTGTTCATAGTAAATACATGTGGGTTCTATTTAACATAAACTAATAAAATAACTTATTTCATTGATTTTAAAAATATTATCTTCAAGAGATTTCTGAGAAAAAAATACTTTACGTTGCTTCTTTGGACATGTTTCAAAACGCAAAATAGGTTTTTCTAAAAATCTTACAACCGGAAGCAGAAAAAAAATTATCAAAGTTAAAAGCAAGACTAAGTTAGTATATAAAAAAAACTAATTTAAAAAAAAATCAATTATAGTTAGAGCTGCAAATAACTTGAATTAATACAAAAAGAAAAGGAAAACTTTGGCAAAAAACATTAGGTCATTAAAAAATACTTTAAAAAAATTTAAATTAATCATACATTTAACCTTGTGCAAAAATAATCTCAAGCAAGAGCAAAAGCAACAGGTACCTTGAACAATTAAATTTTATCACTTCATTGTGTAAAATTACACCGAAAAAAAAAGACATTTACTACATACTGGAGAAGATGCGAGTACAATACATTATATAAAAATGTTTATCAAAAAATTAAGAAAATATGCAAGGAAAAAAATACTTTAATAGTTAATAAAAAAAAATAAGTATACTATACAGAAGTCAAGCTCATGAAGAAAAGCACTCAACACATTAACCAGAGCACTAAACTAGCCTATGTAAATTTACAAAATTCAATTACGTGTGAAAGAAAATTAAAAAAATTAATTGAAAGAATTTATCGTTATCAGTTTAGATCTATGTTATCCACTTTTTGAAAACTACCTGTATCTCGTTTGTTGGCCCAAATTCCTCAAGTAATCTTTGGAACACGAAACCTTTCAATTAGTCCTGACCCAAGATGCTTATAAATATGTATCACTCTTTAAAAACGATCGATTATTGTAAAAAAACGAAAACGAAAAATAGGTATTTCAAAACTTTTTGAAGGAATTTAGTTTACATCTTTATTGCGAATTATTAAAAAGCATTAGTATATGTGTCTTGATATTAGCGTCTCAATTTTCTTTCCTGTGTAATTCTACGCTTTATTTTTTAACAGTAAACAATATTTATCATTCTCGTTTCAAATTGTTCGCATGCAATACATTAAAAGTAAAGGTGTTCGTTATTAAGATAGATCGCACAGTTACCGGGGGAATAAAAGGGATTTTTACGAAAGATTTATCTTAAGTTCAAACTTTCAAAAGAAATCGAAGCAAATGATGTCCAGAAGGAAAAAAAAACTTAGTTTGAAACAGGATAAGCTCAGAGATTAACTTAGATCTTATCTAGGAAAAGGGAATTTATATTATATCAACTAGAAAAATCCTGAAACTCTCTAAGTAAAATTCGGGAATAAAATCTGTAAATATACCTAATTTAACTTCATAAATTCTGAAGAAAAAAAACATGTTTATTTCCAAGTACATAAAATGATTTAATAACTAATATTTTAGAGAACTTAATGTATTACTGTTATCTTGTTGCTCGGAAAAATTTTTCAACCCGATTGTAAAATAATAAATAAAGTAGGAAAATTTTCCGCAATAATTGAAAGTCTAGATCCCGAACTAATAGATCTTATATACTCTTCATTCGAATTATTGACTTGTCAGGGATAGTTCAACAATTTTTTTAAATTTTATGAATCCTTGATTATATTAACAGCCTTGATTATCTGTCTTGATTATGTACCTTATAAGCCTTGATTATATATAAATATTTCTATCACTCAAAAAGAAAAAAAATCCTCAGCTGACAGCTAAGCTACGGACTTGTAATATGTTTCAATCAGTAGTACTTTTTATTCATAAATATAAAAAAATATAGTAATAGTCTTCAAGACTTAAAAAGGCTTTAAGGACAAAAGAGGCTATGTTAAAGTTCATTTTAAATACTAATTATGCATGAGTTGGATATCTGCATGTGATGTCAAGCGTGAGAGACAGTCGATATTTAAAAGTATGTTAAAGTTCATTTTAAGCACTAATTAAGCATGAATTGGATATCTTCATGCGATGTCAAGCGTGAGACAGTCGATCAGGATCGACTCACACGCGTGACGTCACTTACATATATCCAAGTAAATATGTTCCGAATATTAATTCAGTGTGATAATAAAACCAAGTTTTTAAGCTGTAACATTAAAACGTCATGTACAACCACGTGATTAGACAAGACCACGCAATTAGTTGCAAGTACTCTTCTGTACGTAAGATTAAAATTGAAATTTCTCAGAACTTATTTGATTTAGTATGATGAGCTTCGTTCCTTTAAAAGCTCGCTTTAGTAAATAAACTTTATTATCCTGAAAGTAAATTTGCTAAAATGTTTGAATTAATCAACAGAACTCTTTTAATTCTTAATTTTTCCACCAAGTTAGACATAAATCTAAATCAACTTGAAATTCCCGATTTTATTTTCTCAGAAGAAATTAGTTTTAATCACTTTCACTGACACAATATGAAATAGATCTTATGAGCTGTTGTTATTTTTTGGTTATTTTTACTTCGATATTCTACGCACTTACCAGATTTGCTGTAAGTAAAGAATAAAAGAACAGTAGAACAGCTTTTTGCCAGCGGTGACTATTTACTTAAAAGTACGAGAATGGACCAAAGAATCAAAAATAAAGAGTAAATGATAACAATCTACAAAGAATAAAAGAAAAATTACAAGTAGCAGTATTTAAGATGAATATTATTGAGGAACAAATATATTTTCCCAGAGTAGAGATAGATGGCGCTAGTTGTCTAACAGTGGGTGTTTGAATAACTAGTCTCAGTTCCAAAAAGCGTTTGAGTCATTGAAATGACAATACGTCTAGGTAAGAGGTCTAGTGTGGAAAGTACGAGTAGCATTGTGGGCGAAAAGACACCCTGCAGATTCAATGAAAGTATCCTTTTACATAAGGCCACACCTCATAGTGTTTGCAAAACGCAAGCATTGCTGCAAAATCTCGAGTAGTAACCTTTTCAAGATGAAAATATGCTAAGTTTTGTTCTGCGATTTTGCTAAAATTGGTTGAACAACTTTGTATTGCGTACCAACAAACGCCTAAATACGTTTGGTATGTATGCCGATCACTTTTCACAAAATCACCAAAGCTATCTGCTTACACACACAGAAAAGAATGCTTTTTAAATATATTTATCATTTTTGTATACTGTTAATAAATATTGTGATTATCCTTATGACCTTTTTTTTATCCATCATTGAGTGTTTTGAAACATTAGGAAGTTTACAATGCATCCTAAACTCTGAAATTCATTTCAAAAATCTTAAATGAAAAGTTATTAGGTTTGTATAAGAATATTTAATGCATTCCCTTACTTCAGTTTGTATTTTGCAGATCTCTTGAATCTGTGTCCTTAACAGTTCTCAAGGAAGGGTTTTTCCAGCCACACAAGGATACTTTAAGAGACATGTGAGTACTATGATAAATCTATGTTTTAAGCGAACCACCATTTGTGAATGAGTTTAACCAACGCTTGCTAGAAAAGAGAACGCTACCGCACAAATCAATATAGTAGTCCGATAAGAAAGAGTCAAAACGTTCAGACTACTAGAGGATGAGATTTATTGTTTATGGTAACTAGTACGAAAGCTTTCTCTCGTCTTGGAGGCGTTGATTCAACTCACAAATGGAGAGTCTTTATAATAATTCCCGCAGTGAATTCACTTTACAATTGGCGGTACCGTTCACTGATGCTTTGATTTGATTCCATTGACAATGTATATATGTAAACATGCATCATCCGCATCTTTAATATAACTCTTTTTTAAAAATATGCTCTAACGTCAAGATGGATAAAATTTCCATAAATATCCTTAATTAAAAATTATATTTAGACAAAAACTCGTGTTCCCTTATGATAACCTTAAAAAGCACATTATTCAAGCTTTACCAGAAAATATTAATTTCTGTGGTTTTCTTCATTCAATTTAATATTCTATTTAATGCAATGTGATCAAGATTGATAAAGTTAAAAATGTATTTCAAAAATTAAACACTTGTCATAAATTATTACTTTTTAATTTATAATGCAAATGGTATACCTTTGTAAAAATTTAAGTATAATATTTTTCTTGATCAATTTAAAGATGTAAACTTTGTTGAAGTTTTTATCGTTTTTCTTGACATCATTTCGTTTGTTAAATGACCTTAGAATAATAATTTATTTTATTTTTATTTACAGCGTTTTATATGGAATGAAAGAATTGACTGAAATAGAAGATGGTACCTTTTATGATCTTCATCTTTTACGAACTATGTAAGTTAACAATATTTCAGTTAGCGAACGTATAATTTAAATATCTTCATTTTAAATGTTTACAATGCATAGGGAAGAGTTGTACTTTGGGGTACAAGTACTTAGAATCAGAAAATAGAGACCCTTAATGGAGAATTTCTACATTCACTATTTGCGGTTGATACTTGTAACAACGATACTTGTAACTATTTGATGTGTTGACCATGTCAGATTTTCTAGTTTTGATTTTTGATATTTCAGTAGCTGAATAATTTTTTTCTAATGGGATTGATTTTAGAAGGTTTTTCATGACTTTTAAATCAAGTTTGACTTCTTTTTAGTCAACGCCTATGTTGTTCAAGAAAATGGCGCAAAACTTCATATGAAAAAAAGCGAGAGTTTTGGGAAAATTACGAGTTTGTGGTCTAATTTTTTTTTAAATATTTAAGAAGTTATACCAATGTTGCATTATCTGGACTCGTAGAAATATCCAAATATTGAGAAATATACATTGATTTAGATAATTTTTATCTAGTAGGAAAAATCTCTCCAAAGGAGTGTTTTTTTTTTAAAAAAAGAACAAGTTTAATTACTTGAAATAATTTGAAGACTGGGAGAAAAATGATTTATCTCCATTTTTCACAAACATAATTGGCTCGCCATCTGTTGTATCCTGAAGATTACAAACCAATATCGTCAAAAATTAGCTCTACCAGAGTATTATTACTCAGTGAAGATTGGTTGTGCTAAGGGAAAATGGCCCACGTGCCTGGGGAAGAATGATGCCAATCCAAAACGTCCATGCGCCTGCAGTTAAATCAATTGAAGGTTGTATTGCATCAATCCCCAGCTAAAAATAAACCGCCGAAAATCTACAGAAAAAAATGCATTTTGAAGACTGGTAATTTGGCCGATTCCGCTACAGAATTTTTGAAGTCGAAACACCGCAAAATTACGGCAGTTTGTAAACTGCCGTAATTTTATAGTAGTATCAACTTCAAAAATTTTACTGTTAATATGCAAAATGTCTATTTAGTGGTACCCTCTACCGTGAGCGATAGAAAATACTATAGTTTTTGTTTGAATATTTTAATGAAATAAAATTCCTTTTGAAAATAAGTTTTTGATAGAAAAATTATTTTTAATCTATTCTCAGTTTATCTCAGCTGGGGGCTGTATTGCATCAAACCTGGTTTACACCCTAAGAAAAGTAAATTTTCCACTCAGAGAATTAGGATACTGAAAGTGATTAGTAGAGCCCGGATTTTGATGACCTAAAAAGTCTCAACTAATGCCCTTAAAAAGTGCAAAAAATGCCCTTAAAAAGGGCAAAAAATGTCCTTAAAAATCCAAAAATTGCGCAAAAAATGCCTTAAATAAACTAAAAATATTGAATTAAAAAAATGTTTTACTCTTTAAAATTATTATGAGTCATTTAAAAAATATAAAGCAATGCAATACTTGTTCTACGTTCATTAAAGTTTGAAAAATTTGTTTTATATCCTAAAATAACAAAAAAAGGAAAATATATTGACACCAAAATATTCTTATTTTGTATAGAAACTTTAATGGATATAACAACTTCCATCTCATAATATTACTAAATATCAGAATTACATTGGATTATTAAATGTNGACTCCTAATGGAGAATTTCTACATCCACTATTTGCGGTTGATACGTGTAACAAAGGATACTATTAGATATGTTGATCATTTCAGATTTTCTAGTTTTGCTTTTTGATATTTCAGTAGCAAAGTAATTTATTTCTTATGGAATTGATTTTAAAAGGTTTTTCATGACTTTCAAATCAAGTTTAACTTTTTTTTAGTCAATGCTGTTCAAGAAAAAGGTGCAAATCTTCATATGAAAAAAAGCGAGAGTTGGGGAAAATGACGAGTTTGTGGTCGAGTTTTTTTTAAATATTTAAGAAGTTATACCAATGTTGCATTATCTGGACTCGTAGAAATATCCAAATATTGAGAAATATACATTGATTTAGGTAATTTTTATCTATTAGGGAAAATCTCTCCAAAGGAGTGATTTTTTTAAAAAAAAAAAAAAAACAAGTTTAATTACTTGAAGTAATTTGAAGACTGGGAGAAGAATGATTTATCTCCATTTTTAACAAAAATAATTGTCTCGCCATCTGTTTTATCCTGAAGATTACAAACCAATAGCGTCAAAAATTAGCTCTCCCAGAGGATTTTTACTCAGTGAAGATTGGTCGCGATGGGGGAAAGTGGTCCACGTGCCTGGGGAAGAATGATGCCAATCCAAAACGTCCGTGCGCTAGCAGTTGAATCAATTGAAGGTTGTATTGCATCAATCATCACACAATAGACATTTATCTGGTTTATACTTATAAACCAGATAAATGTCCATTGAAAAAGAAAAGTCAATTTTTCACTCAGTCAATAAGGATACTAAAGATGATTGGAAATGATCAGAAGATATCCTTTAACGCGACTTCTTATAGAAACTACATATCTGTTACATTTAACACCGAAGCTTAAAAGAAAAAAACGTCTTGCCGAGGAAAACAGAAGGGAATCGTCCCCAAAAAGAAACTTAACGATACTACTGTCCCCATAAAGGCTGCTAATCGTCAAGATTAGTTCTTGAAGAAGTTTTTTGGTGAGATCTGAGCCACGAGAAATTTATAAATGAAAATTTTTTTAATGTAGCTCAGAAGAAAAGATAATGAGGAACGAAGTACAAAGTTTAGTGAAGGCGACTGGATTGCTAGTAAGGAAGTATTTGAAGGAGGAATTTTGAGGATGGAACGGTTTTTGTCCAACCCGATTTTTCAAACTATATTTTTCAACTTCACAAATTATAAATTTTGTTTTGAATTTTTTTAAGAAACATAGATAAATACTTGTGGCGTTTATAGTCTTATTTTTACGATTGTATGCTTACTTCTTGTAGTGTATTTTACCTCTACAAGAATGTAGTTCCAATTCACTAGTATATAAGACATGTTGACTCGATTCTACGATGGGGTACCCTTTCATGGATGACTGTTGACATGATCGAATTCTACACTCCCCACATTGGTGACCTTCGGACGTGATGTGAACACGCCTACCTTGACCGAAACTCCGACTTCGATCCGAACACGCTTACTTCGCTGGATGGTCAACATTGAACAGTTGACTTGCTGCTTGTGATTGCGACATTATTCGCCTCCTCGTGTTGTTGCTACTCAGTCTCGATCACACACGTCGATACACTCGTCTGATAATGACAACACAGGAGCGACCACGACCGTGAACCTAATACAGCTCTCACGATCAGCAAAAAATACGGGGATCTTAATACAGCTCTCCCGACTTGTTACAAAACAGCAATGAATCAATTAATGGTATCCGCTCATCAAATTCTATCACAGCTATAATTCTGGTGGGGGAGTACTGTAGTGTATCTACCACTACAAGAATGTAGTTCCAATTCACTAGTATATAAGACATGTTAACTCGATTCTATGATGAGGTACCTTTTCGTAGATGACGGTTGACATGGTTGAATTCTACATTCCCCACACCTCAGAAAAGTCTTAAACTTTAAAATTAGTTCCTTTTTTTTCAGCATTAGCTTTCATGGACATAAAGCGATCTTCTCCCCTGATCCTAACTTAGGTTAACTGTCTGCTTTAAAGCCTAGATAATTTTTTACCGCAAGATTGTAAATATAGTTTAAAACTATAGCTTTCCATCGAGTGCAAGGCACTTGAACTGTGTTTATATTTTTTATTAAAAACATATGTGAGGTAAAATATTTATATTTTCAAGAAAATATTTATTCATTATTCAACTTATAGTGAAATAACTTAGTTTCATGTCCCTGTTATAAATGCAAAATAATTATGTCAAAGTAAATCTTCACTTTATACATAGAAGCGGAAGTCTATGCTCGGTAATAGCTTGAGAACGGGAGCATTGGTTCGGTCGCAATAACAAAAATACAATTGACCGAATCGCTATTTTGATCAAACTTCCAAGGATATGATAAAATTGTCATTGTGATCGTGTTCATATTTTTCAAAGATTCCGCTAAATATTACTCAGTGCTCTAATTTATAATTCTCGATTTAGTAATAAATTTCTAATTTTATTTAATTTATCTTGTTACAGATCTATAAAACAAGCACCAAAACTAAAAAGAATTCAAGACGCAGTTTTCAACTGTTTCCTTCCGAATTTAAAAATTGTGTAAGTATTATTCGATATAAATTTTTTTCACACTTCATTCCCTATATTTTCTAAATGCTGTGCCGACGCAATATTTTATCCTTCACAAAATTTCGTTTTCATTCGTTTCGTTCGAAAACAATTGTTTTGCTGTAAAAGTTTGCTTTCTATCTTTCCTTCGTAATCAGAAACTTTAATGTTTGCATTTTAAAAGACTTGATGGAAAAGATTCAAAGTTAGGTTAAAAATTCCATCTCTTTGAGTAATAAATTCTAAAACTTTTGCATTGCATTTCCCAATCTTTCTTAAAGATGACATTTTATGAAATAAGCTTGAATTCGAACGTATAATTATATATTAATAACGAATTCTAATTTTGTAATTTTTTATTCATTTCAAAAGTGATACTTTTAATAATTTATGTTATTTTCAATTATTTATAACACTGCAACTAAAATAGTGTAGGCAAAAAATTTCCTCGACTCATTTTGAACTATTCATTAATATCTTTCATTCTTTTAAATTTAGAACACCATTCATTAACAATTCGCTCCTAAAAAACAGAAAAAATATCTTTATGTCCAAATTTTTTTGGTAAAAGGAATAAATTCGAATTTTTTCTTCAAAAGTAAAGCAAAGTATGTGATATACTGCAGATTTTTACATCTCTCTCAATTTGTGCTTTTTTCGGCATAAGTTTAAAAAGTAATGATTAAATCAGCACAAAAAACTAACTTTCGAAATAGGCCTGATTTGTTTCTGATTTTCTGAATGTGCGATTTCATTTATTATATTTTGCGAACTCTGTTATAAATTTTTAGGCGTATTAAACCATAATATATTTCTAGTTGGCAGACATAATACGTACTAAGTTGAACTAAAGTAAACTTCATTCTACATTACTACTTACATAATTCAATATTACACCTTATTCTGGCTCAACGCACTGATTTTATTCAACGGAATTAATGAAATTTTTTAGAGTGAATTAGCTACCTACAGAATAATAAAGAACTTTTTAAGGGTTTTCATGGAACATTATGGGAGCATTTTCTTTTCACCGCCTTCAGGATAAGCCAGCTTCAATAATAATAAATTCGTAGTTATCTGAAAAAAATGGGAACAGCCAAGTATCACGTGAAATATGCATCGGTTCGAGTATCTAGAATATCAATTATGAAATACTTTTAAAATGCACAGACATAAAAAAGTATAACTTCTAAGTCTTAACCAGTAATCACCATTTTATAGTAAATAGGATTATGGAACGCAATTTAGCCTACAGGTTTTTTAAGCTGTTTCTACATCATTATATTTTTTAGAGATTGCATTCTATTAGTATTATTATCATCATCATCATTATAATCATTATTATTATCATTATTATCGTTATTATCATTATTATCATTATTATCATTATTATCATTATCATTATTATCATTATCATCATTATCATCATTATCATTATTATCATTATTATTATATTATCATTATTACCATTATCATTATTATTCACAAGAAAGGGAACAAACAGACTAGAAATAATTCAAATACACGAGATCACACGGTTAATAACGCTAACCATAAAAGTTATTGACATTAAATTCACATAAAGGAATACAAAGACAACACATGAAATGAATAGTAAGAAATTCAATGCGTGCAATATACAGGTGGCTAATATGGTGTCGCTCTTCATCTGTAAAAATTTGCAGTTACTTTATTTTGTGAGACATGTAGAAGGAAATAGTTAAAAGGGTTCTTAATATCATTATATGAAAGTAAGAACTTCTTTAATTCCGTTTGAATGAGCATTTATTCAGAGCTTTCTGCAAAGCGATGAAAAATTCGACTGAGCAATTTGGTGCTAAATAACTAAATTTCCTGCATAATATATTTTTGAGAAGTATTGGTATATTTGGAATATTTCTTTAAGTTTTCGCGAGTTGAAATTTTTGAGTTTTTCACACTCATTTAAATTATATAAATAGACAGACTTCATATGAAAAAATATGATGAATCGGAAAAATGTTTAAAGATTTGAAATTACTATTTCATTATAGATACCTAGTAAAAAGATATAGTTATGAATTTCTTTTATAGTCAAGTCTTTCAGAGTTTGTTCAAGTCTTAGAAGGTTTCTTATTGTGCTCTGGCCAGGAGAAAAGGGTTGAAATTTCAATTTTGAGAGCTCTGTCACACGAAAGCGAAAACGATGGAAAATCAATAGATACCTGCATATCAGTGTTCAGTTTTAAAATAAATATAAAATCAAAAAGGTTTTATTAATATCTTATTAAAACCTACGTATGAATATTCATTAATGAAACCGTATCAAGATGTTCCGTAACAACACCTCCCTTTGTATGCTGTGTTAAAATACTTATTAAAAATGAAAACAAAAATGTACGCACATTGGTATATCGCAAATCAGTATCTAAGAGAAGTAAAAGCAGAAATGCTATTGAAATCTGTCACAAATCACAGTACTGGAAGGTGTATGTAATAGGCAACAAGTCAGCTTTGATTATGGGAAGAGTTCGAAGAAGATTCTTAGAAATACCTTCAAGCGTTAACATTCAATTAAATCTGTTTTGATGTTTATTACATTCGCCTTCCAATACTTTGATTTGTCAGATTTCGATGCTGGTTTAGCTCTTTCTTTGCTCAAATATTAATTTGCGATCCCACATGTGATATATACTTTTTTATAAGGATTCTAAGAATATAAATTATAGGTGGTCTTTACGAAACACCTATTTATTAGTAGATATTTGCATTTTTCTACCGTATGAAAATAATTGCGTAATGTAAATCATAAAACATTTGAAGGACTCTTCTAAATAGAGTTAACTATTATAAGCTAAAATTACTAAAATAAGTTACTTGTTGCTTAATTTCATAAAAATCTTACTAAAAAAAGTAAGAAAGTCTAGATTTAATCACTTAATATTCTCAAATCCTTTATTTTCTTGTACGCTTTTATCTTTATTATTTATTTTGTATTCGGTTATCACTAAAGTAATGTCAAACAAAAGACTTCGATTTTCAAAATATTTAAACAAACTTAGTTTTCTTAATGGAGTTGTAAGCAGTTTAATTATATTATTAAATGAACAATTACATGTTTATGCACGTTAAAGTTTTCGATAAAGAAATTTATCACTTTATGAAGTATTTTTGTATTACTTAGTTACTCTATTTGTTTTCTGTTTAGATATTATTACTTTCTAAAATCTATTTACTTTTCTTTTGAAAACAGAAGAATCGTTCAATCAGGTCTTGAGTCTGTGCCAAGCCTTCAGTTTGTTGAAACGAAAAGCATTATTTACATAGTGTGAGTATTCAAAATCATAATTTATTCAAGAATTACATTAGCAAGCTAATAAATAGTGTAAATTAACTTCAAAGGTACTAATTTGTTGATATTCCTAAATTTAATTGTATTTTCGCAATAAGTTGTTATTATTTAGAAGCTGAAAGAAAATCTGATGAATTACTCATTTAGGCAAATTAACATTTTAATTAAAATCAATTAGCAGCATCTTCTTGAAGTTAAACGGAATTCTGCTAATGCTTGAGTGTTCCCGGATTTTTTACAAAATATATTAATTTAGATCTCTGATGAATCCATGAATATTTCTAAATAGCCCTTTTTAACTATAAATTTATTTGTATATTTTCTGTTGTCTCAAAAATTCAAATGTTTTGAGTTTAATAGAAAGTGTACTTATAATTAAAAATATATTTATAAGAAAACAACGAGATTGCTTTTTTTCTACTTTTAACGTTTAAGTCATGATCAGTCTTTTCTTCTTTCCCATTAGAAGACAAATTAAGACTTTAATAGATCAAACAAGGTAAATATAACATTCTGACAAAATTAAATAAAAAATTTATTATTCTTGCTAATGGGAGAGGGGGACATTTATCCCACTTGGGTTTTTAGGCGGGACATATATGTCCCAGCCAAGAGTTAGAGCAAAGCCCCGAGGCTGCCAAAAGGGTAAAGCAAAACACACATATTATTATTTTAGTCATTTAAACTATTTTCAGAAAAATCCAGAAAATCAGAATATAAAAAATTAGGAAAAGAAAATTTAAAATTTCGAACAATCGAAGATAAAATCCTATTTTCAGTGTCATAAGAAGAAAAAATAAAGACATAATAATACATATTTAATTATTTCAGTCATTCATACGGTGCTTTAAAAATGTAACAATTTCTAAAAAAAATCTAGAAATTCAGAATGCCTATAATTTAAAAAGAATAAATACAGAACAATGGATAAAATTTTATTTCAAGTGTCTTGAAAAAAAAGGATAATTGCGCACAAAAACAGAACGTTTCGTTTAAAGATTTTATTATCTACTTGTTTTGTAAGGGTATTGGATCTAAAAATACAATAAGACCGAAGGAAATAAAGAAAAAGTTCTTAATTAAGGAGAATTTAGAATTGTTCATAAAAATATTTTTGTACAAAATTTTAATTCAACTCCAAATTGTTCCTCTAGGGAATAAATTTTCGATCATTGGAAGCGCATATTTTTTTCGTAAAAAGTTGAAATATTTTAAGTAACATGGAACTCAAGAAATATGAAGGAAAAAAAAAAGACAAATGAACTTACAGAAAGGCGACTTTTATTCAAATTTCGAAATTCTAGAACTTTTTTTAATTGTTGAGAAATACAGTATTTCAGTTACGGTATGAACTTCATACAAAACTAATATTAATATTCGGTAAGAATATTCATCACCTTATACTTTTAAAATATGCATAAATAACCGTAACACCAATAAGTAACTTCTCTCTTTTCTTCCCTGTTAAGAAGTTTTTACTACTAACTGCTAATTATCCTTACCCCAAATTTAAGATCATTGCAAAAGTCTATTTTGTTTATTCATCTTTTGTAAAAATTCATTTTCGTGTTTCAGAGACCTAGACAGCAATAAGATAAGAAGCTTACCGACGGAAGCAGTAAAAATGAAAACCGAAACACTGTAAGCATCAACAATATTACTAAAACTTATTATCTTATTACTTATTATTTTACATTATAGCAGCTCAAGAATTTCTCTTTAGATGTTGTATCAAGAAATATAAAAAATTCAAAATTACTTTTGTATTTGCAGTAGTAGTAGTTGCTTGTTTATGTCGCACTAGATCTGCAGAAATGGTTATTGGCGACGGTCTGAGAAACATCCCTGAGGATGATCCTTAGACATGCCATCAATTTTGATCCTGTGCACAGGGGATGGCTCACTGTGGTGGGCCAACCTGTCAGCAAAGGGACTCTAACCCATGATCCATCTACCACTGAGGATATTTCACGTCGGCACTGTGGTGGGTGCAAGTCGGATGCGGATACGTATCGACCAGCCATCGATGCGATTCGAACCCGGTTCACCTCATTGGAAGGCGGACGCTCTTTCCCCTGAGCCATCGTGGCTCTGGATCAAGTATTGGGACAAATTTGCCTGAAAGATTGGGAAAAATTTGCCTGAAAGACAAATTTGCCAAATTTGCCTGGGAAGACTGAAGGCAAAAGGACTCTAACCCATTATCCGTCTACCACTGAATATATTTTAAGTCAGCACTTTCGTCGGTGCAAGCCAGACGTGGAATTCGTATCGACCAGCCATCGCTGGGATTCGAACCCAGTTCACCTAATTGGAAGGTGAACGTTCTATCCACTGAATCACCACGGCTCTTTCGTACGAGTTAGTTAACAATCTATTTACAATATCCCAACTACGCCAAAATTGGCATTTTTTGGCAGAGAAAATAGCTTAGAAACGGTGTGAATGCGCGCTTTTATTATTAATATTTAGATTTAACTGTGCTTTTTTAAAGTGTAACAAATCAAGCTACATTAAAGAAAGTTTTTTTTATCTAAAAAACACATTTATTTGACAACCACACATAAGCTATACAAAATTAAATTAAAATACCCAAAACGGGTTAGTAATTATTTTGCAAAATAAATGGAAAAACCGGTAACGGGTTAGTATGAACCTTAAATTCAAAACAAAATCCATTCTTTTCAAAAATCAACAACTCTAATTTTTATAAATTTTCTCGTTCTTTTATTTTTAACTAGCCGTCTAAGGCGGCCAGCTGTCCGCCACGCTGAAGGTTTTCACAAATAAAGTTTTTTAAAACATAGCAGGAAATCTGAAGATNTCTTTTCAAAAATCAACAACTCTAATTTTTATAAATTGATAATATAAATATAATTATAAATGATAATAATTGAAATATAAATCTTTTATTTTTAATTTGTCCCGTTGCATGTTTTTTTTAATTCATTCTTTCGTTAGTCGGATATTTTTTTAGATAGCTTTAGACTCCTCTCCCCTTATAAGAACTTATCCAGAGAAAACAAAGGAAAACTTATTTTTGAACTTACTTGTGTACATACTTCACTAAAATTTAGGTTCAAACCAATGCATTATGTTGCAATCAAAACATTTCACTTTTAAAACTAAATTTCTCAATTATCAAATTAAATGCAACATACAATTTTTAAATTAGAAGTGATGTACAATATTTAACTTTAAAACTTAAAATTACTAAATTATTTTTAGGCTCTTGCAGTAAACATTAGTAGACAATTCACTTGTAACTCAATTTATATATCAAACTAAAACATTAAAAATAAAATTAGAATGTAATAAATACTATAATTTAACTTCACGTAAAATAAAAACAAAGAAGTATAACGATTTACATATATGCAACAATATCTAAAGTCCGAAGCCAAGTAGATCTCCTTTATTAAAAGACTTACTGACATATTGCTTTTGAAACTAAACAAAATATTTAAAAAATTTAAAAATCTTCATATAATTAGTTCGAAACCCAATCTTATTTATATTTAAATGCATAACTTAACAAAAAGCATTAGCACTTTTTTCTACAATCAAATTCACTTAACACCAAAATTATTGTACATTTTCATGTATAATAATTTTAAACACTTTCTCAAAAATAATTTAACTGGTACAATTTCAAACATTTCAATAACTTTTTTTGCTATTTTATCTTACCAGCTTAATTTAAACTTTAGTGCAAACTTTAATAGTAAGCTAATTTCTGTACGAGTTAATTTTTTTGAAAGTAAATCAAACATATGAATAAAATATAAGACTAAACTGTACAAAACATCACAGCATACTGTTTACAATTAAGTAACCAATGTTTAAAACAAACTAAAAGAACTAAAGAAGTAACACAAAAATCTTATTTAAATAAAAATCATCGGAAGTGAAATAATTACCAACACCTTTTTCGAATAATATTTAAACTTATTGTTTGTTTTTTTTAGTTTTCTAATTTAATAACAATTAACCTAAGTTATAATTATCTTCATACTCTTTCTTGCGATTGGATAAATTTTATTCTCACTTTTACTCATAAAGCGTTAGTCAAATCTGGGGTAATTGGAGAATTTTGAAATGCCATGACTTCTGAAGATTTGTAGATGTTAATATTCATTCATCAGTTTTTGACTATCATTCGTGAAGATTTGACTTCGGCTTAAGAATCAGGTTCCAACTTAAGAAAATACTTTTTTAATCTTGCTTCGATCTATGCGAGAATATTTATCATATTTTGCAATATTTTTTTTTCCTTTTTAGAAATATGTTTTTTTTTTGTGTTTCTCTAAGGATTCTTCTTTTTTTTAATTTTCTTTTATATAGATTTCCAATTCCAAAATTCCATTTCTCCAATTATCTCTAACTTTTCATTCTTTACCACTACCAATTCTTTTCCTAAACTTCCAGTTCCACTAATAAATATTCTGGCAAACTTTTCCAATTTTGGCAAGCTTTTCCAATTCTGGCAAGTGCACTGTAATTCCATTTCTTTCGCCAATAACTGAACTTTTTCATTCAATCTTAATTTATTAGCGCTGCAATTTTCCCAATATGGCGGATATCTTTTACTTATACTTGTTCTCTTTGGTTTGATGAACAAAATTGCATTGGGCACTTAAGATTTTCCTCTTTACTTTTATACGCAAAAGCTTTAACTTCTCTCGAAATAGATTCTAATTTCTTCAATCGTGTATCAATAAATATAATATCAAGAATATTTGGAGACTCTTTCAGTTTGACTCATTGCATAACACTAGTTCTATCAGAGTACTTCTTTCTTTTCCTTTTGGCATTGATTTTTCTTCATTTAGTAATTTTTTGAGCTCTTCTATTCTTAACAAAGTTCTTCTTATAAAAGAGTTTTACTTTTTCAGCATTAACTAATGTTTTTTTTTGGAACAAAATTGTTTATTCCTACACGGCAAGTTGAGCACTTTAGTATCAATTTTAATCTTTTGTACTATTCGATACTCTTGGAAAATCTTTTCCGTTTCTCTGTGACTAATTCTTTACTTCCCATTTTGTCAGCAACAATCTCTGGCAAACTTTTGCTACCTTTATTAGAACAATTTCCATCATTTCTTCCACAACTGATGATTCAGTACTAACATGATTATTATTAGATTTTACTTCCGAAATCCTTTCAATTCTTACATTTCTTTCTGGCAAACTTTTTCATTTTCAACAAAAACCATTTCAAAATTTTTTGACGAAAAAGTGTCAACATATGATGCTTCTTTCTGACACTTTGGGTGATCTGTTTCAACTGCAAAACTGACCTGGTTGACTTGGTGAACATCCTCTTCATTTCTCATCGTAACCTTTTCTTGGATGATTTGACATCTCTTTTCCTCTACCACCTTTACTATCTCTCTAGCATCTCCGTCGACTTACTCGCATGCACTTTCTATGCACTTTTCGCATGCACTTCTTATGTTCTTCCTCGTTTGAATGTTCGTAATGTAACAAAAATGATATATTGAGTATCGTAACTGAAAAAAAAACTCGATAAATATATTTTATTTCGGTTATCAGCTATTGTAATAGGTGTATTAGCTTCAAAAATATAATTATTGAATTCTCGGCCATCCATTTGCTCTAACCCTCCGTTTATTAAAATCAAATTTCAAGATATCGTTTCTAAAAAAAAAGATACAATGTATTTAGAACTACAAAAAAAAATTTTATTGAATATATCTATGTATTTATTTTAAGAAGACTCTTCAAAATCAATTTCTATTAAATGAAAGTTAATAAAATGTAATTGCAGTCGCGGGAATCGAATGACTTATTATGCCCTACAGCTTTTTCAAATTAATATTTCTGCTCAATTTATTATTTCCTTTACCGAATGACTTTAAAATCAACTCTGTGCATCGCTTATTAATTTAAAATAAGTTTTACATTATTTACGTTTGAGATTAATGCTTTAGTTCAGAACATTTTCTTTTCTCAATGTTCTGTTTAATGGAAGTCTTTTTTTTATAAATGACTTTTAAAGAAAAATTCTAATTATAATAATTTTTTCAAAAATATTTTTGTTCTATTTGAAATTAAATATTGATGGGGGTGAGTTATTGAAGAATGACGTTATTTAGCATAAAACCTGCTGCAGGTTATCCGTATTAAACAACTGAGTTTTTGAGCAATAAGCACACGAGAAAGTACAAAAAAATTGCGAATCTTAAGCACGTATGTTCTAAAATAGGGTTAATGATATACTGCAATACACCAACTACATACAAGGGCAGTTAACTGCGTGCAATGTGATTAAGATTTATTTTAAAACCTCGACTTTCAGCATGTTAGCACACGCACTCCTTTTTTTTACGTCAGTATAAACGAGTGATAAGTTCAACCCTATTTTTGCCAGTCTATGGTTAATGGTATAATGACCAACTCTATACCCTTGCAATTAACTGTGCATGGGATGATCAAGATCTATTTTTTTTTAAAAAAATACAAGTTTTTAGCACGTTAGCGTACGTTCTCCTTTTTTTTATGTCATTACAAAATAAATCGCATCTTTAACTAAATAACCAAATTAACTATAAAAATGAGCACACGTTCCTTTTTCTGAGTCAAAATAAAGGAGATCACATTTTAAGCTATTAACCCGACAGGCAAGTCTTGATTCTATTTTTGTCCGTGTGATAGATAGAGTGCCCCAGGACTATTGGGACAAACTTGAAAGGGAGGTAGGGGAC